TACGACAGGCTCCGCGTGCTTGGTATGAGACGCTCAGTTCTTTTCTCGAGACATGTGGCTTCGTCAAGACTCACTCGGACGCTTCTCTTTTTGTCTATCATCGTGGGACGGTCCTTGCTTACTTCTTGATGTATGTGGATGATCTTCTACTCACCGGTAACTCTCCTGAATTTCTTCAGCAGTTTGAAGCTCAGCTCTCGGCGCGTTTTTCTCTCAAAAGTCTTGGTGAGGTTAACTATTTTCTTGGCGTTGAGATCATACCTACCTCGACTGGCTTCTTACTCTCTCAACACAAGTATATAGTTGATCTTCTTCTTCGGTTTCAAATGCATGAGGCGAAACCCACTTCAACTCCTCTTCCGTCCACCGCCCGTCTCAGTCGAGTTGATGGTTCCGCCCCAGCAGATGGGTCTCTATATCGTCAAGCCTTGGGCGCGCTTCAGTATCTTCTCACTACTCGGCCTGATGTGGCCTTTGCCGTTAACCGGTTGTCTCAGTTCATGCATGCTCCTACGACTCTTAACTGGCAGCATGTGAAACGGCTCTTTCGCTATCTGGCTGGCACTCAGTTTGTTGGCCTTCACATTCGCCGGCAGTCCTCGCCCCTTCAGCTGCGTGTGTTCTCAGATTCAGACTGGGCTGGTGACTCTGATGATCGCACCTCTACATCTGGATTTCTCATCTATCTCGGTGACACTCTCATTTCCTGGAAATCTAAGAAGAAACGTACGGTCGCTTGCTCCAGTACAGAAGCAGAATACCGTGCCATTGCTTTCGCCACTGCAGAGGCTCAATGGGTACGCAACCTCCTGACCGAGCTACAACAACCACTTTCGTCTGCTCCAGTTCTTTTCTCTGATAACCTGGGAGCTGTAAACTTCAGTGCTAATCCTGTTTTTCACTCCCGGATGAAGCATCTTGCTCTTGATTACCACTTTGTTCGTCAGCTCGTCCAGGCTCAACAACTTGTCGTTCGCTATGTTCCTACAGCGGCACAACTAGCTGATGCTCTTACAAAGGCGTTGCGTGTTACTCGCTTCCGTCTGCTATTTTCCAAGATTGGACTTGCTGACGCAGCCTCCATCTTGCGGGGGCGTATTAGGGACGTGTCTTAGTCCCTGTATAATTGTATAACCTTGTCCTAGTGTAACTAGTATTCCTCTTTACTTGCTGTACAATGTAACTGATGGGTATAAATATACCCTTGTGCTTTTCAATAATACTCACGTATTCAAAGCCTAATAACAATTAGGTGGTCTCAAATTATTTGAATTGTCGTCGTTTGACTTGTTCTAGCTACTTTGCATGGCGAGTGCATTTAGGACATTTTGATTATGATTATATGGATTCTCAACTTAGGCAGGGTGATCAAAGTTGCCAAAATAAATTAGGTTGAAGCTATTGAAACTCACGTGTGAAGTGATCAATTAACGTGTTTTGTGAGAGTGTCATGTGTAAGTGCCCCGAAGGAGCATTTTGGACTCGATTGAATTTGGGACAACACGTCACACGATCTTTAGAGGATTGTCTAACGAATTAGACAAGCAATATTCCAACTCCTTAAGTCTTTAAAGTTTAAACCCCAGACCCCCTTCCCTCTTATGCATAGCTACATGTTTCAAAGCAACCTTAGCTTTCTTACCCTCTGCCTCAACATTCCACAAGTAATCTTTACATACCTTCTCTATCATTTTGACAACTTTAACCGACAATTGTAAAATTCCCATCAAATTCAGAGATATAGAGGAAATAACAGCATAGACAAGTTGAAATTTCCAATCATATAAAAGTGTTTTTGCCGCCCATTCTCTTATTCTAACTATGATTTTGTCTATCAGACTTATACATTCTCATTCCCAACTCGCCATCCAGTAAAGGGATCCCCGAGTATCTTACTTGAAATTTCCATATGGGAAACCTAGTTTTTCCTGTTATAGACTTCATTTCATCTCTGTCAATCCCAACAGAAGAAAAAATTTAACTCTTAATTGGATTACATTTTAGACCAGACACTTCATAAAATATATCCAGAATCGTTTTAACAACTTCTACAACCTCGCACTAGTCTCTCTTGTAAAAATCATTATATCATGCAACAACACATGTGTGTTATGTGATGCACTTTGTCTATATAAAGATTCCTCAACCTTCAAGAGTTTATACAAAGAAAGTGGAGTTGGTAGGGTTTGTCAGGACTTCAAAGCAATACCCCTTTTGTTGATTTCACTTGTTATGATAATTCTGATAATTATTTATAGACAGGTTATGCACATTATCGGTTTTGACGCTCCACTTGTTTTAAATAGATAAAAAAAAAGACATTACATAATCATGAAGGAGAAGTTCAGACATCACCAAGTCCTTTGAATTAATTAGTAAATTTTAACAAAAGGAACCTTCGTTAATTAACTCGTGATGTATACTGTGTACTTCCAGATGATTATATATATGCAACTTAATGTCGTTTTGTGGAAGGAGGACGACATAAATTTCCTTCCCCAGACACATTGGGTTTGTCGGACAAGGATCCTGTTACGGCCTGGATCCCATTACTACAATCCAATATTATTAATAACTTCGGGTAAATCTATGGTTAATTACTCCCCATATGATTAATTTAATTATATCTGCGCCCGACAAAAGATTAACTAATTTGTTAATCATCATTTTCCCCCTCTTCTTGTTCGTGAATATATATATTGGCGTTGTGTATTGGAATATATAACTTTGTGGTGGTTGATAAATTCGTCCCAATCCATTCCGTTGAAATTGCCGTTTGAACGTGGAGACCAAAGATGTTTGAATCATTACACAACTACTATTCTTTCTCCCCCCAACCCAACCTTTTTGAAAGTAACGTCCAAGTTTGTTATAATCTATAAAATTATATTATTTTTTTATACATTCTGAGGAATTTTTTTTCGTACCATCCATACCGTTATGTACCACCTTCGTTTTCTATTCAAATTTTGAGAAGTTCTTTCGTTCCCTTTCATTTATCCATTGACCTTTTATATATTTTCAAGTTGTATGGTGTATGGGTCGTTGTTTTGTTGATTACCTCCCCGTCATGTAAATAGTTGGTAAATTATACAGACGGTGTAAAACTAAACCGAGAAGGGGTCTGATCGGTCTTACTTGGTGCATGCACCGTTGGTAGGAATGACAATGGGGCAGCGGGTATCTCGATACCTATACCCACCCCGTGGCAGGTCGGCTACAGGTCAGGTAATTCATCACAGGGCCCGTGTTGGTGCAGGTCGACCCAAATGGGTATATAGCTTGAAAGGAAAACGTTAGAAATACTCATTTTTCACTTAAAAAAACCAAGAAACAAACTAAAGTATGATAAATGTAGTTAAAATTATTCGTAAAATTGAGGTTCTCGCATATTTACAACTTCATTCTAGCTAAAACATGATGTAATAAAGTTAAATTGTAAGTTAGACAAAGACGAGTAAAATAAAAAGGAGGGGGTCGTGGCAGGTCAAGGAAACTATCCACACGGCCATACCTGCCCTGCTTCGCCTATGGAGCGGATCGGGCCCGCTTCAAAACTGGTCTAACAAGTCGGGTACAACATATCAGCTCAAAATTATCAACCCTAATGGGTGATTATTTGTCATCCCTATTCATCGTATGAGTCCAAAGGTACCCCATCTCTCGGTACGGCATTGCCCTCATTTATATATGTTTTCTATAATTTCTTAATTATACCATTATTATTAGTATCGACGATGCTCCTTGTTTCACACAAAAAGTTGAATTTTGTCGTCCTGTGATTAGCATGGGAAGTTATGGGTAAGCAATCCTTGTAAACCAACTTTTTGGACTGTATAGGCCATGGTGGGTAGAGAATATTTTGGCATTTTTATTAGAAGAGGAAGAATGTACAAGACTTCTCCTGCCTGCCTTGAAAAGAAATTAAAAAAGGAGGCGGCCAAGACGATTATATGCTTCCTACCATAAAACCTTAGAAAACTCAGACGACATTTGTATTGTTTTATTGGTTCATGGGTAGGACAAAGAACCAGTTGATGTCAATAACTGAGTTATTTGGAGATGTTCAATTATGGATTAGATGCCATTTATTAATACACCCACCATAAAGTGAAAGTCAGCTAAAAAATACTACATTGGCCACCAAGATTGAAACAGAAAACCTATTGATAACATAAGACTCTGATACCATGTCAAGAACATGTTGATTCCAATAAATCGAGTTGTTGGGAGAGGTTCAATTATAAATTGTATACCGCTTATTAACAAGGTGCAGCCAAAGTGACCAATTAAGAGCTAGGGGGCTAAAGCAAGGGGTTTTACCTTGAGCAGAAAATGGCTTATATCATATGGCCTACATTAACTTTGTGGATGTAAAATAGGTTTAACATTTATTTACCTTTTTGTTTCCAGTGTCATAGGTCTTTTGATCTACATTTAACTTTTTGACCTCTTCTCAGTTCTCACCTATAACAGAAGAGTGAAAAATAAGATTGGAAAAACCGAGGAGTGAAATATGGTAGAAGTACAATTCTGTCGATTAAGGTTATCGCCTTCTGAAGACAGATTAACTTATTGTCAAGCAAGCAACCCATATGAGATGAACTACTACCAAGTTCTTGATATGCTGAGTTTTGTTTCTTTCCATATTAAGAGAAACAAAGAGAGAGAGAGAGAGACAACTTTGTTTGGATTCTTTGGGTCTTGAGAAGATTGATTGACTAAGGATTCTAGGAAGAAGGATGGACCTAGACAAGACACAATACAAGACTGCTTCTTTTGGGCTAGATTGGAACGGGCCCTATATCTACGGGCTTCTGAACTGCTCATTCGGGCCAGTGGCCCATTTGCACTCATTATTAGTTCTGGCGGGAAAGACAAACTCCCCGTCCCGCTATCACTATCTCGACGAGTAAAATGTAAATCAAAATTCATAATAGGGATTAGGGTGAACAAAAAGAAATCAACTTCAAAGTAATCCATCTACCTAATCTGCTCCGATGAATAGAAAGCGAACCGCAAATCCTCCCGATTTGTTGTCATCCATGGAGGAGTCGAAGGGGGAACAGACGACTGCTACCGACGCTCAAAAGTCTCCCACTTTACCGGCGAGCGTCATCGTCAACGTTTTGTCCAAACTCCCGGCGAGATCTCTGTTCCGATTCAGGCTCTTGTCCCGTAACTACCTCAATCTAATCCACTCCCCTGATTTTATCGCCGCCCACGCCCGCGATTCCTGCCTTAATCGCGCCGGTCTCCTCCTCCTCGCCGAATCCCTCTCCTGCCCAGTGGCGTCCTTCTTACCGCCGGCGATACCCGACAACAGCTGCGGCGGAGGAACGTCAATCGAGCAATTGAAAAACACTGGTGGGGCTTCCGACTTCCCCTTGCCCTTCCTCAAGGGTTACGGCCAATTCGGAGTGCGACCCAGCTTGAGATTTGCTGGATCCTTCACCGGGTTAGTTTGTTTGATCCTCCATCGATGGGGAGAGTACTGGGTTCTATGGAACCCGGCCACCTCCCAATTCAGCTTCGCTCCTCCGCCGATCTTGCCTCAGGACGACTGCTTTTGCAACCGTGAAAGCCCCCACAGAGTCCTTGTTGGATTTGGGTACGATTCCGAGGCCAGTGATTACAAGTCGGTTAGGGTTTGCTGGTGGCAGGATGGTGGTAGTGGTGTTCAAGTTGAAGTTCTAAGTTGGGTTAAGAGGTCATGGACACAAATTCAAGACAGGAGCTTTCAAACCATCCTGACTCTCAACCGAAAAGGAACCTGGAGCTTTCCCGATCCTCCTCTCGCAACCAGCAATGGGGGAGTGTATTGGATGGACACGATTACTGGTATGGTGCTTTGCTTCAAACTGCATGATGAAAAGTTGGAGTGGATTTCGACTCCTTATCCTGCAGATTCGCCAAAATGGTCTGTCCTGAGTACCATTAGTGTCTGGAAAGGGTCACTTGCTATGTTTGTGCTAACAGTACAAGACTCGTTACTTAGTGTCTGCTTGTTCGACGAAGGAGATTCATCCTGGTCTACTTTACTTACCATTCCAATGCTGGGTTCCCCTTGCATACCAGAGGCCATATGGCGCGTCAATGGCTGTAATTTGTTCTTGCTCTACATCAACTGCGTTACCTGCGATTCCGAAGGAGGCATATTGAAGCTTCCATTTGAGGAGATTAGTAGAGCCTTTGAGTTTGCTGAGACCTTGGTTCCCATCCCTGGCTGTTGAAGAAGTTGGTGGCTATGCCATTAAGTGGTTCGTGGTCATTGCTTGAAATTTTGGTGCTTAATTGCTTGAGATTTTCAGCAGGCCAGCAGCCGAATTAATTTGTCCATTTCAACAATCCAATGTGCTCATTATAAAAAAAGCATTCCAATATGCTGACATGTTGCAATGTGAATGACATAGATTTGCTACATTCTTGACGCAGCTGGAGCCATAATCAGATCAGGTATGCATTCATATATACAGAACTCTGTTGCTTAGAAGTTTTCGAGTCATTGAAGAGTAGAAGTTTTACTTTGTTAGTCATCAGAGTACAAGACAAAAGCCGAAGCTTGTCCGGAAAATCCCTGTCCTCCTTGATGAAAACTGAAAAATATCCCTATCCTACTAGTAAACGGGCAAGCGACGAATGCACGAGGTAAAAAGTTATATAGTGTGGATCATTACGTAATTGAAAATTTGAACTCTGCTATGACGATGGGGAGAAAGCGAACCACTGCCGCCAACGCACAAAAGTTGCCGGAAAACGTCATCGTCGACATTTTGTTCAAACTGCCGGCAAGATCTCTGTCTCGCTTCAGGCTCTTGTCCCGTAAGTACCTCAGTCTCCTTCAATCCCCTGATTTTATCACCGCCCACGCCCGCGATTCTTGCCTCAATCGTGCCGGCGTTCTGGTCCTCGCTGAATCCATCTCTGGTAAAAAAGAGGCTTTATTCTTACCACCGGTGATACCACCCGATAATAACAGCAATGGAACCTCAATCGAACCGGTGAAGAAGAACGGGTTTTCGGACTTCCCCTTGCCATTCCTCAAGGGCTATAGCGAATTCGGAGAGGAACCCAAGTTGAGATATGCCGGATCCTTCAATGGGTTAGTCTGTTTGATCCACCATCGATGGGGAGAGTACTGGGTTCTGTGGAACCCGGCCACCTCCCAATTCAGCTTCGCCCCTCCGCCGATCTTGCCTCAGAGGGATTGCTTCTGCAACGGCGCACGCCCACACAGGGTCATTGCTGGATTTGGGTACGACTCTGCGGTTCGCGATTACAAGTCGGTTAGGGTTTCCTGGTGGACAGAGGATGGTGGTGGAGTTCAAGTTGAGGTTCTAAGTTGGGCTAAGAGGTCATGGACAGAAATTCAAGACAGGAGCTTGGACACCATCCTCACTGTGAAACGGCAAGGATCCTGGAGCTTTCAGAATCTTCCCGTGGCAACCAGCAATGGTGGAGTGTATTGGATGGACACGGGTACCGGTATGGTGCTCTGCTTCAAACTACATGATGAGAAGTTGGAGTGGATTTCGACTCCCGACGATGCTGCTGCTGCTGCTGCAGCTTCATGGTCTGTCCTGAGGACCATTAATGTCTGGAAAGGGTCACTGGCTATGTTTGTACTAACAGTACAAGACTCGTTACTTAGCGTTTGGTTGTTTGACGAAGGAGAGTCATCCTGGTCTACTTTACTTACCATTCCCTTGCAGGGTTCCCCGTGTATACCGGAGGCCATATGGCGCGTCAATGGCGAAAGCTTGTTCTTGCTCTATGTCAACTGCATTGCCTGTGATTCCACCGGAGCAGCCAGATTGAAGCTTCCATTTCATGTTATTAGCAGAGCCTTTGAGTTTGCTGAGACCTTGGTTCCCATCCCTGGCAGTTGAAGAAGTTTGGTGGCTTATGTTTATATTCCCCTCCTTGTAACCATAGTTAAAGCACATTTTATGACCGGCTGGTACTGGTCTAGAATCATGTTACAAATGGTGCCACTATTAGACCTGCATAATCTGCATTTTACCTCTCCAATGGTCTGGTTATGTACTTTTGTTACCAGCATCAACGTTGAATTTGCCATTAGAGATTATCTTCTGTGAATGTTTTGTTGATTTAACTATGCCAATTATGTGGTTCGTGGTCATTGCTTGGAATTTTGGTGCTTCATTGCTACACTTGGTAAAGGATATTAGACTTAATCATGTCTTGCAAAGTTCCTGTGTGTGTAATCCTAATCCTAATTAGAAAAGTAAAATTATCCCTATCCTAGGAGTAAAATGGAAAACGATGTATGGCAATTTATAAGATGGACTCATCTTGATACTAAAGAAAATCGGAAACAGAGTGAAATCATATCAACGCAATCTATCTATCTATCTGCTGCCATGAAAAGAAATCAACCGCCCGAGATTTTGTCGCCGGAACTGAAGGGGAAACCGACGGCTGCTGCTTCTGCCGCCGCCGGGGCACCCAATTTCTCCTCCTTACCGAAACACCTCGTCGACGGCATCCTATTCAAACTGCCGGCGAGGTCTCTGTTCCGCTTCAGGTTGTTGTCCCGTTACCATCTCAACCTAATTCAATCCCCTGACTTTATCGCCGCCCACGCCAGCGATTCCTGCCTCAATCGCGCCGGCCTTCTCGTCCTCGCCGATTCCCAATCCGGGAAAGCGGCCTCATTCTTACCCCCGGCGATACAGGGGAAGACGAAAGATGGGGTTTTGAACTTCCCCTTGCCCTTCCTCAAGGGTTACGGCTGCAATGCCAGATTCAGCTACGCCGGATCCTTCAAGGGTTTGGTCTGTTTGATCGTCCGCCGACAGGGAGAGTACTGGGTCCTGTGGAATCCGGCCACCTCCCAATTCAGCTTCGGTCCTCCGCCGATCTTGTCTCAGGAACACTGCTTCTGCAACTCGCGCTACCGCCGTCGCCTCTGGGTCGTCGTTGATGGATTCGGGTACGATTCCGCGGCCGACGATTACAAATCGGTTAGGGTTTTGGGTTGGGAGAATGCGATTCAGGTCGAGGTTCTAACTTGGGCTAAACGGTACTGGACAAGAATCCACGCCGGCGAGGGCTTTTACTCCATCTTCCATATCATCTCTGGACCTCCCAGCTTTCCCGATTCCCCTGTTTCGACCGAGGGCAGAGTGAATTGGATGGAGGCTAGTTCCAGTATGGTGCTTTCCTTCAGACTACGCGATGCCAATTTAGAGTGGATTTCGACTCCGGATGCTGCTGTACCTTCGTGGTCTGTTAACAGGACCATTTGTGCCTGGAAAGGATCGCTCGCCATGCTTGTACAGCCTTTGCAGGAGCCATTGCTCAGTGTTTGGTTGTACGAAGAAGGAGGATCATCTTGGTCTAGTTTAGTTTCCATTGCCACACATGGCGTTCCTCGCCGAGTGGAGGCTATATGGGGCTTCGATGTCGAAAGCTTATTGGCGATGTATGTCGATTGCATTGCCTGTGATTCCAGGGGAGGCAGATTTAAGGTGCTGCTTCCATTTGATGTTATTGGTAGAGCGTTTGAGTTTGCCCCAACCTTGCTTCCCATCCCTGGATGCAGCTGAAGAAGTTGCTGGCTTTGTTTGTCTGGCCCAACTGCTGATCCGGTTAGGTTCTCATAACAAGTAGAAAGTTACTATTACTTAGAGTCACATCACAAGGGGTGATCATTTTGTAATTGACTAAAATAATTGGAGGGATTTTATGCCATTAAAGACCATTGTTATAAGAACCTAACCGGATCAACAGCTGGGCCAGTAAAACCATCAAATAGTTACGATGACGGTTTGGTTCATTGATTGGGATGGTTAGTGATGGACCAAATGGTCTTTTAAGGTTCAATATTAAATCAGATGAACCAACACGATTTAACTGGTCCACTAGTTCACTATTTTGACCATAAATTCTTTAAAAAAAAAAATAGATTAAAGTAAACTAAGACCGTCAAACCAGAATTATTAATTTTATTTCTGCTTCCTCTTCTCGTTTTCTAACCTCGTTGTCGATTTTATGTGGTCCACTATCGGCTGGCACCATAATTTTTAACTTGAATTAAAAAAAATTATGATTTCTTTTGTGTGAGATGGTTTGAATGATTTGTTAGATATTTAGGTGCATGATATGAATTTGAAATTGTTTAATGGTCAATGATAACTTTATCTTAAATTAGTGTATTATACAAGTATTGTATATTATATATCATGGACGGTTCTATCAATAGTTAACCAACAGTTTTGCAACGATTAACCACTGAACCCTAAACCACTGACATTTTTGGTTCAACGTCCGGTTCGGTTATGAAAGCAGAGTATAAGACTATTAGATCTTTCTCTTTTCAAATTACAACCATTGAATTTAAGTTTCGTAGTAATACAAAATCTCATGGTTTTGTACCGTAACCTGCCCCCTAGGTGTTACTATTTACGGTTTGTTCACCAAAAAAAATTACTATTGACTATTGTATTAGAATAATACTCGTCACCAAAATCCGTGTGAGATTGGGTGAGCTAATTAATAATATAATATGGTCACCGAGCGTATAAGGCTCGTAGAGCTTTCTTCTCTGTAAGCTAAATTCTGTGCCTTGTTCGGAACAATTGTTATTTCAAACTCGGCCGACCTGCAAAACCCTAATCTGCTGCGATGGGGACGAAGCTGATAAGAGACTTGTGGCTGAGCCTGAAGAACAGCCGCCAATTACTTACACCAAAACCGGTTCGTACGTTTGATTATCATGTTAATATGTGCTGCTAATTAAGTGATCTTTCCCTTCTTTCCAGTTTTTTTATTTTCTTTTCATGTGGTTAATCGTTTGTTATCTTGGTTATTTGCTTACCTGTTATCCATGCCAAAACCCTAAACTCCTCAACTTTGGACGATATATTTTTTTTCCAGTGGTATGTACTTTATACCATTGCACTAACACTATATATATCATAGGTAAACATAGGTCTACTCTCGGATCCCGACGAATCAGAATAGTCGATTACTCTTTTTTCTTAAATATTTTCTGGGTATGAGTTTAGAACATCGGGCTCAAGGAGCCAAAGTCTATCCATTAGAGGTTTATTTCATGATCTAAAAAAAATATAGCGTTCCGACCAATATATATGGTAAAGGCTAGCATACGCCCGGACGTACCCTAGCCTACCGTACGCCTGTTGAGTTTTGCTATTTAGACAATGAATTAACCGGAGTTTGGGGCATGATACCATATACCCTAACCCCCTAATGGGTGAACCCCAGTCCGCAATTCACTAACCCAAAGCATAATATTCATTTAATCTTGAAATGAAAATCAACGGTTTCGATTCGTCGAAAATATTGTTGATTTTCATTTTAAGATTAAACGAATTCCATGATTTGAGTTAGAAAACTAGGGACTGGGTTTATCCATTGGTGGTTAGGGTATAGTATCATGTCCAAAACTCCGGTTAATTGATGATCTAAATAGCAAAACTCAAACGGGCGTACGGTAGTCTAACGTACGCTCGGGCGTACACTAGCCTAAATCATATAGGGCAAGACCGGTGTGCGTCAGGCATATACTATACGTCAGGTACTACTAGTGAGATATCTCTATCTAGACCATGAACTAAATCGAGTTTGGGGTGTGATACTATACCCTAACCTCTAATGGATAAACCCCAGACACCGATTTTCTAAACCATAACCCGAAGTTTGATTTAATGAAAAACAAAAATTGACCGTTGAGATCGGCCGGAGCTCATATAAGTACATCTAACGGCTAGATCACCTGGCATATAGTATACGCCTGACGTACACCAGTCATCACCATATATATATATATATATAATTATAATTCAACTAGTACCTAGATATATAGTAATTTTGTTGTATATATGAATTTCAGGAGTTGAATGGTGTTGATAATCTGAAGCGCGCGCAACACGTGACTCCGCTTTCCATCGGTCTAGAAGTCGGCTACGGTAAAATGCAAGTGATCATCCCAAGGAACACTCCCATCCCAACCAAGCTCTACGGCATCCTCTCCCGCCGAACCTTCCGCTGCCGGGAATCTGTGGGATTCCCAATCTACCAAGGAGAAAGAAGCATGGCACGCAAGAATCGGTTTCTCGGCAAACTGTCGTTCACCAATAATAATAATGTCCCGCCTGCTGCTTCCCGCAATATCAGGGATACTTACGGAGAGCTGAGAGGTTGGTTCGGCATCGACGCCGACGGGACCCTAACCGTGCGTGTCAAGGATTTGGCCACCGGAAAAGAGCAGGAGATGAGAGTGGAAGGCGTCGCCGGCGGGAAGAGGAAGATGGTCTTGTCGGAGGAGGAGGTGGAGAGGATGGTCCGTGAAGGGCAGGAGCACAAGGTGGCGGACCAAAAGTACGTCGAGGAGATGGATGCTGCGTGGGAGGCCATGAATTCTGCATGGTCCATGATGAGGCGTGCCCAGATGTCGCTGATCAATGTGACGACGGACGGTGAGGAGACGTACCGTACGTTTAAAAATGTCGCGATGCAGATGCTGAACGATTTTAAACCCGAAGCAAAAGACGAGTAGATAATCATACGCGCGTGGCATTTGAGAAATTGAGATCACCAATGTGAATTCGAGATATCGCAGTTTCCTATATTTTTGTTTCAAGTTTAAAGTCGTCAAACATCAGAAGGACGACATTCTTGACCTTCCATCGTCACAGTGGTCAGTAACATCTAGGCACGCCTCATCACAAACCATGCAAAATCCATAGCATCCCACGAAACATTCCTTACATACATGGTATATAACTTGATCATAGAAACTCTTATCTAAATAAAACAATGCAAATACTTAAACGTCAGACACATCCCACTTTCGTGAGCTATGTTGAATTCTGAATTTACACATATACGTACATGATCAAGTTATCCCTTATCTGTATATTATTAAACATTTCAGTTTCACAGATTTTATTTTCCGGACTCATTAATGTTTGGTTCTTTCTGGAGAGGATGACTTTGGGCCTGCTGCTCAAAGTGGGTTCCCCCCTTGTTACTTGGTTTTGGGCCCTGGTTGTCACTAACGGCCCAGGATCTTTCTTCGACTGGTTTATTCGCCCAATTTAGCCTATTTTGCCAATTACAAATGAACAACAAACAGACAGTGTCTCCTAAGATGATGCTACAAAACATGCTCTCTAACTCTCACGCAGTTAAAAAAAGAAATTGTTTGCGATGAATGTTTTGATAAGGCATAATGAATAAATTAAAAAAAAGAAGACAAATTAAACGTGACAAATTTGCTGATTATACAGACGTTGATCTCCAATAACAATAAGGGAGAATACGATTCACAACATATTAGTTCAAATTCTGGCGACAACCATTGTTTCAGAGAAAAGAATGAGAATGTGAAATTTAAGTACATTTTATTACCAAAGTACCAATTGTCCTCTCTCAAAATGAAAATCGACTTCAGTTATCCATTTCCTGAGTAACATTATTACAGTACAAGAAAGAAAAAGAGATCTCTCTTCATTACAAATGCATACAAAAGGGAGAATATATAAACATGGCTGTTTTTTATACTCTGCTTACATATATGATGATATATATGAAAGTTGATGGCTCTCTAAATTCAGAGCATATGTTCAATATTGTTGTACAACAAACCCAGAAGGCAAAGCCACTAATTTACTGAAATACCCACAAATTAATGGCCACAAACTCTTTTTTTTTTTTTTAGTCACCATGTTTTCTTCATCATCTTCATCACCTTTTTATTACAAACTATAGTATACATATGGCCTTTTTTTGGGGGATGGAATTTCCTTCACCATTTTTCCATTCTTTTTTATAGTAAAATGGGAGAAATTCAAAGCTTTAAGGCCATATATATACTATGTGCTAATACATGGGGGGAGAACACAAAAGGAGGAGGGTGGGTTTTTAATGGAAGCCGGCGAGGGTCGTTTTGGTCGTCGGGATATCCGGCGGTGGAGATGGGAGTAAAGTGAGCGAGAGTATTCCACTGGCTGCCGCCGCCACCGCTCCGACCACGAACGCCGGTAAGTTCCCTCCGCCAAACAGCGCGTCCCATGGGCCACTTAACACCGACACTATCATCTGCGCACATAAAAACGACAAAAACACACGATTAAAAATCGATATGAAAGCAGCAACAAAACATTCTTCAGTCATCCAAATCCGACCATAATTAGGGAAAGTAGATTTGGGTTTGAACCCTAACTTTGATGTGTTGCGAAGTTTTAACCCTTTTCCTCTTTCTTCTTAGGGTTGCTTGATGGATTTGGGTCATGGATTTGGGACTCAAATCCCAAGCATGATGGATTTTAGCCAAGTCCATTGTTTGTTGTCATGTGTTAAATCCGTGGGGTCCACGGATTTGTTCCCTTTTTTGGTCCAAATCCGTGGACCCCACGGACTTGTAAATCCCACATATTGAGGTGGGATTTGTAAATCCTTGATGACTTGTTATATTTATAGCAAATCCATCATAATTATATCATCAAATCTATCATGCAAACAATAGACTCTTCAAATCCATGATGGTACAAATCCATCATAAATCCAAAGGTTTTTTTGAGCCAAAACCCTCATTTTTCAAATCCAACAAGCAAACGACCCCTTAGTTCTAAAGCAACGGTTTTTCCACTGTTTGGAATTGTACGATGGGCCAGCAAACAAATAGAATCCAATACTTTATCTTGGGCCCAGAGAATATATTCCGTCTTTATCCAAATTCTATAATATATATCCAAGATACTCGCTTATCTAGCCTTGGTTCTAATACAGGCCCAATTAAGCCTTTCTATGACTAACGGCATAGCAATTGTGATAGTTAAATCAGCCGTTTGATCCCTACTTATGAAAAAGAAATGTCATTTTATGACTAATTGTTTATTTCATCATGCGAGATCGCCCTCTAAGACGAATAGGCCACCCTTTTGATTCCATCAAATTTCATCCAAGATATAATTTATTGAGCTCTTTCATTTTCCCAAACAGGTACCTGTGGTTATACCAAACCAATAATTCTTGGAGAATAGAATTACAATATCCTCATTATAAAGACCATCTTTATTCTTAGCTCCCTTCTTACTTGAGGATTTGTATTTCTGGAACCGATAATTTTATCACACGTCATATGTGTATAATATATCCCTCTAGGATATTAACTTAGGAGCATTAGCAGTTGCTAGTGACTTCGTCACCTCCTTTTGGGTCAGTAACGATGCCTGGCAGTAGGCTAACCAATCTTGGCAAATGAATTATCTTTGAACTTCATGTTCACATTCTAAGTATGAGGATCATAATTCATTTCAACCAATTTGCAAATCAACTGCTTACCCTTTCTTTTTCTCCCCCTGATATTGGAAACATTGACTTGTTTATAACATCAATAAATATCATATCAAAATTCTAGTCTCACTGAAACAATTAGAGACTTCTTATGCAACTTCAGTTTCCAATTTTCCTTTGCAAAACCCATCTTTGTAAATTGTGGTGGATCAACTTACATCGTATATTGCACTTTCATAAATTCTCTGATGGGATATTTTAGGTCCTGACCAGAACCAATTATACAGGGGTTTAGTAGTAACATCTAGTTGGCATGATGCAAAATCAGTGTTGCCGCATGTAAGATGACATGTCAGAGTGAGTGATTCATCGAGATCATTTTGTGCACACACATGTGCTACAAGATATTTTATATTAATTCTAGTAACCACCAGTATTTGTCAAGATATATTTTCTTGATTGGACATTCATCAAAATGTGCCCATAATTGAATCAACTGAGCAATCAGTCTTGCAAATTTCAGGTTGCAGCTGAATACATGTGACCATTTAGTCGATGCATCGATTAAACTCATAAAATACCTAAATGGTCCACATGGTGTATTGGTTCACCAACTTGGCATTATATGCTCATCGTATATAATATTCAAATTCTTACTTTCACTGGTGATGATCTCATATCAACTTTCTTTGAGAACAAGCAGCACAAGATAAAACTGTCTTGTGGAATTCCTTCAAATGTCCACATAAATTCTCAATTTTCTTTTGCATCATAATTAATCCGGGATGGCCCAACCGGTCATGCCAAACAATCAATTTATCACGTAATGTAAACTTCAAGTTTACTGTTGCATTTGCTTGATTGCTTCTTTCTTAAATAATAATTAACCACGAGAATTAATCCGTTGTCTAAATCACAATAATATATATTATGAAATAATCTAAGAATGATACAAAAAGGGGACGCGGCTGAAGTGGTACGGCTCTTTGCCCTCACCTGGAACGTCGTAGGTTCGAGCTCCATTGACGCCAGATTTCGAACCCTATTCTTTTTGTTTCACCAAAAGAGAACTGTTAGATAGAACATACAGCATAATATCAACTATGATTACCTGGTAAATTCGATCTGCTTTTTGGCACTTTCTGTGTGTTATGGCGGCCGACATACACTACAATATCTATTTTCTTTTTCAAAATTTCAAACCACAATCTCTCAATATCTACCACATCAACATCCTTATCTTATCCCCAATTTCGGCTATAAAACAACAACTTTCCTCCTTTTCATTTCATTATACTCAAACCGAAAAATCATACATCATCTCTCAATTCCATCATTCTTCTTCCCTTCTTGAGAACTCTTCTCGTTATAAGTCGCTTCAGGGATCTTATCGAGTTCGGGTGAAGCAATGGCCGAAGAAATCTCTTCCTTTCTAATATTGATTTGGGTGTCATGGATCTTTATGATTTTCTTTCTGATTGCAATACTTATATTGCTAGATATACACTATCGCAATCATGAACGCTACGTTTCGATACACAAACGCGAGGATCATAAGCATGACTAGATATTTTCTAGTCTTTGCTCCATATATGGTAGTATGAAAAATGAAGAGATCGATAGATCTCATACAATGTATCCTGCTTGATTTATAAATCAAATTTATCAATAAATTCAAGTTTGAATACTTCCCTTTTGTATCGACTATATGAGGTACTTATTGAGTACCAATGTGATGAAATCACCGAATGTGATTCGGATTTTTTCTGGCCAACGCGGCCGTGTGGGTCATTTTTTATAGGCTTCAGGCTCGGTATACGGGCAAGCCACACGGCCGTGTGAAGTATACATTTGCCCGTGTGTGGCCGAGAAAACCACACTGGCTGGCCGAGGATTTTCACACTGCCGTGTGAAATTGCACTCCTGGCCGTATGGGAATTGCCGAGCCTTCACACGGCCAAAGGCCATTTCCAACGGGCGTGTGGATTTTTGGCATGGCCGTGTGGAACTCCCATAGTATATATATATGAAAATTTTGGGATCAAATCCAATCCAACCAGATAACTTTATTGGATTCTTCCGTACAGATATATACCTATTGATATTTCGGTATTCATGGAACAAATGGACATATAAATTAAATCTCATGGGTTCAAACTTGGCCATGTCGCGAATCACTTTTCGTCATAAAATTATCTCCCGGTTTGAACATTTCGTTCAAGTGATTCTTGGTAAAAGTCGACCATACATAATTGATTCCTTGTAACAGGTGGTTAACTAATCATATACTTTAATTCACTTATGGGATATGCGGATTGTACCGACCACAGTTCCACCACAATGAATATAAAATCATCATCATGAACATCATGTACAATAAGTACAGAATATGACCAATATCCTTGTTCTTGTCCATTTTTAAATCCATTTCACGTACTACTTGTACGGTAACATCTTTGTCCTTTATAGGAAATTTCTTACTATCCCATTTTTCATTGCAGGTGAAAATTTATTACTGTTGGAATTTCTCATCATTAGAACAAACCAATTTAGGTTTAGGTATTTTAACCTTGTCCTTTTTCACATTCACTTCCGGGAATGGAATTACGTCCAGAGGATTTCTCATAATTCGGATAACCCATTTATCCATAGGTCATTTGAACCTTAGCTATTCACTTTAGCTTTTATCATTCTGGAACCTATCAATTTCAGGAATTTACTCTGATTCCTTTTAATTTGCTATCACTTTAACATAGCATATAACAATAATTGTCAGAGTAATAATAATACGATTAGTGTGTTAGAAAGTCAGTGCATAGCGGTGCCCCATCATTCAATATAATATCATATAAAAACAATAATAATAATGTCATGGGCTCCACAAATAGTATATGCATAGTAATTTTACTATTTGATGAAAGCGACCCTGCAACATTACGTTAAAAACTGTGCAAATGCTGTGCATAATGGCAAAAGGGTTAAGGCTCTGTTTGTTTGAGCCTTTTATAGAAAAGAGGGTATGCGTACCTGATGATGAAAAATATCTACCTCAAAAACAATTTTTGACTTGCAGGACCTTGAGTAGGTAGAGCGCTCGTGCTGATAACGTGTTGTGAATTTTGGTATGTAGACGTATAGACTATGAAATAAGACAATATGAGATATAATAGACAAAGTAGATACAAAATAGATATAAAACACTTTCTCTTCTATTTCTTTCAACAGAGTATATACATAGAGAGAAATTCTCTCTTCTCACGAACATCTCTCTGAATGAATTCTGAAATCAGAAATCTCAGCTATTTATAGAAAAGGAAAAGTTACTATGCAGATACTATGCAGTCCTGTATACACGTTTTTGGGGACGGCTGCTCAATGAACAGCCAGCCGCCCTTCAATAATTCTCAACAAATATATGTTTTTGACAGTAATTAACATGCGTGGGAACTGAAAATTTGAGGGTTGGTTCGAGGTCGATGGGGATTTATTTGAGTATTTTAGCTGGCAATTGGAATCTACGATTGATGTGGGAATTATCAGTTAAGACACACTATAATTAAAAACTTTCTTCATTTTGGTTTTTGTATTTTACAAAGTTTTGAGTAATAGTATCTTTTCTTTTCTTTTCTTTTTTTTTATAGATAAGGGTGATATAGGTTCATTTTTTTATTATTAAGTACTACTTAAGGAACTTGAACCTGAGACCTCCAGGTTCATAGCTAGTGGTATTACCACTAGACCAATCCCTTGTTCGGAGTAATAGTATTTTTCGATTGGTAATCATCTCTCCAATCTTTGTTTCTTTTCTCTGGGGTGGGACTTCCAATCTTTGTTCAATTTGTCTTCTTTAAGTTTGTCTTTGCTAAGTTTGTTTTATATGAGAAATTACTATGTTGTAAATTTGACTTCCACTAGTTCAAAATTAAATAAGTGGAACAAGAAGAGGAGAGGGAAAGGTTATATTTTATTTAATTTATCGAAAATCATTTGGGCATGCAATTTACTGATGGATTATTTCCAGATTCATTTTTTAGTTAAAATAGAATATAATGTATCGGATTATCGTAATATTCAATTTAATTAAGTGGGAAAAGATTTGTAAAAAGCTCGTTTCTGTACGGCCAATACCCTGAATTGTTTTATTATTTATTATAATATTGAATTGTTAAAATATATTATTTTGGCTGTAAAGGATTGTACATAAGCTTCACTAAATTGTGTGCTTGATTTCTTGGGCTGCTTTGATGTTCTTCTACGCATGCTGGATCCTTGTGGAATGAGAAAAGAAGAAGAACACTAAGGGTCTGTTTACTTTCATTTCTGTTTCCTGTTTTTGAGAAAATAGATGTTGAAAACAGGTGAAAACAACATTTTGTCGTTTTCGAAAACAGCAGGAAGTTGCCACTTTCTGTTTTCATAGTTGGAAACGAATAGAAAACAGAATGAAAAGTAAACAAGTTTTCTCATTTCAGTTGCCAAATTTATGGCATGAAAACAGAAAACAGGAAACGAAAATGGAAGTGAAACTTACTCCGAATTGGATTCTCGCATTGATGTCAAATCTCCAAATCAATATTGAAAACCTCACGATTATACTTCAAAACTCAAAATCATCATGATCCTATAAGTACACACTAAAATGCTAAATCAATAGTTAATTAATTATACCAAATAGTATAGATATATTAGGAATCAATTATATAAGAAAAATCAATTAATTCAAAACTTCGTGTCCTAATTTTCAAAAAGTTAATTGACAAAAACCTACCTACCAAACCCCACCACCATCTTTTTTATGCAAAAACTTGCTTGGTCGCAAAGGTAACACACCTTCTCTTAATATAATCCATCTCTCTTCCTAACCAAAAGAAAATTAGAAGAATGAAGACTCTTCTCAAGGGTAATCATCATCATCAACGAAGAACATAAAAAGGGGAACAACTCTATGTGTGATCATTTCGATATTACTTCAAGTTACAAGAATCAAGTATTAATTTGTATGATCAAGTTAGCAAAGCTACATTTAACCTAGTTTAACCCAAAATCTCAAGAAACTAACGAAAGAATGATCATCATCATCATGAACCTCTTTGTTTCATACACAATTCCAAGTTGAAGCCGTCATCAAGCACCTGTCTTGCCACCCTAGCGAAATCGCCTTCCCGTCGTCCCTCTCGAAAACCCTAAACCCCGCACCACCACCACCGCTCTCCCCATCCACTTCCACCGTCGGACCGTAATGCGCCCTGACCTTCAGCAACAGCTTCGCCTGAATCAACGTGGTCGAGCTCAGCTTCACCCCGGCGAACCCGTGCCCTTCCATCCTCCCTTTCCACGTCTCCATCTTCTCGTACCGAGGTGGGGGCCCACACGTCGTCCTCCACCCCTGATGATGTCTCAGGTTCGAATCCTCATAATCATCGCAATTCAACATCGTCTTGATCTCCTTCCCCAACAAATTCTTCTCGATCCCGAGCCTCTCGGGGCTCTCCATAGGCAAACAATCATCCAACGAATCGAACATCGCCGCGAAGTAGTGCAACGATTCCATAAAACGCGAAAGAAACGATGTCGTATTTCGATACCCCTCGTGCTCGACGAGGACGACCACCGACGGTTCCAGCGCGTGGACCGACCTCAACGTGTTGGAAATCTTGACCGGGTCGCCGCCGAGCGTGTTGAGGTGGAACACCAGATTCACCGCCACCGTCTCGTTCTTCCGCTTCCTCAGGTTCACGAGCTTCGCTCCTCTCAAAAGCCCCTGAAACTCGAACGCCACGTTTCGAAACCCCTTAGCGAAGCTGACGAGGCGGGACTCTGTTTCTCGGATCTCGTCGGGTCCCCTGCCGAACCCGGTGACCCGGAGGGAGATCCGGTTCGCCGGCGTGGCCCGCTCCGATAAGGCCTGGATTAAAGACGCCACTGGAGACCGTACGAGACGTCGAAGTCGATGACGTGGAGGGCTTCCGCTGTTGCCGGCCGCCGGCGGCAACGGCCTCGCGGTCCGAACGCCTCGATGATCGACTGATTTCGCCGTGAAGTGGGCGAATTGGTAGCAGGGGGAGACCCTGTAGAGATCGGTGAAGGCGAGGAACTCTTCCTCGGCGGTGGGGGCGCTTCATGATCGTCTCGTAGAAAGGGGATTTCCGGGTCAGGACCCGGGCCGACAAACCCGTCGGCGAAGTGGGCGACGACCCGCTGAACAGAGTCGCCCACCAGCGACACGGTCCGGTAGAGCTCGGCGAGGTTCTCGAGGGCGGAATCGGAGTTGCCCTCGTCGACCGCCGTGGCGGCGATGAGGAGCGAGTGGATCAGGTGGAGTCCCTCCTTGCTCCCGCCGTCGTTTTCGTCCTCTGCTGGCGGAGGAGATTTCCGATGATGGGTCGTGTCAGTTCGCGGCCGCTTGATTATCTGCTCGCGCATTTGGAGGAGGCGGAAGATCTTCCCCTCGATGTTTCCGCCGTCGTGATTCGGGCTGCCGTCCGTCGTCGTCGACGATGACGAGGTCGACAGCAGCGGCAACGGCGGCGATCGCTTCCTCTTTATCCCCCCGCCGCCGCTGTCGGTGCGACGATCCGTCGTACGGATGGCGATGGACAGGCTGAGATTCAGATCGTCGGCTTCGAGATCTTCCATTTTGGATGATGGGGATGGAATAATTTTTGGGCAGAGCTGATTAATTTCTTTCAATTTGAGAGATTTGATTCGTTTTATATATGAAAAAGAGACGGAGGAAAAACGGATCATAGGGTTGTTTTTCTTCTTAATAATATGCTTTGAAAATTTTATTAGTTTTGGATTTTGGATTTTATTCCCTTTTGTCGTCTTGTGGGGGCGGGAGAAGAAGGAGCTGTCCGTGGTCGGGCGTCAAAATCCGGCGGATATGCTTTGTGGAATTTTTGGAAGAACCATGACGGTTGGTCTCCTCCAAGGTGTGAATAACCAAACTACAAATTAGTCCCTAAACTTTTGTGGTACAAATCAAGCTACAAAGTGGGAGGGAACGAGAAGGAGATGCGTGTCTTTCAAGGGCTAGCGATCGAGCTAGTCGTGACCATCATGAAGGAGAGTTCGACGATTCGCTTGGGGACTGTTTTGGTTCGAAGAGAACTAGCAGTACTGAAAGTTTGAAATTATACGAGCAAGATGATATTTAAAATCATAAATTTTGATAACAGTACCGAGCACAACACATTGAGTTTTTATCGAGTGACATGCAAAAAGTAGCTAAGAAGGGATGATAGGAAGGCAATTTTAGTAGATAGATAGAAAGACGCCTAATTGCTCAAATCATGAAGTCCAATTTCATTATCAGTTACGGGTGACAACAAATGTCATCCTACCCAAAAAAAGATATCGTTGCCGGCACTCAAATTTGATACAGATCATGCTTGTATCATGAAAAGAGTGAATCATTTTGCATGAGCAATGCTTGAAGGACACAAAGTACACAATCACCATATTTTCCAGACCTCTTCAACTAATGGTGTTTCATTCATGTCATACCGTAGATTTTAATGAAGGATCTATATAAGATCATATTCGCCAGTGCAACATAAGAAGTTCAATTAGATTGTTTAGTAACGATCGCAACACACATAGAGTCGAGCATCAACTTATTATAAGTAAGATTCTCTAAATCATCGAGTTGGTTTGAATGTTTTTTTTTTGTACACATCAAAACCGTTCATGACACTTACAAAATGGAGCCACACATGGCAATCCTAGTTATGATGCATCGTTTGCTAACTACACGAGAAACCAGTTCCTCGACATCATATACCCTCACCCTAATAGTTCGAAAGAAAGGTAACCCGATCTCCACCTCTCTCCCCCGTTACCATTGCTTAATCGAACACGTACTCCACAGAAGTACATTGACATCGTGATGCTGGACTCGTTCGCCACTTCAACAAATGTCAACCACGGTCACGACGAAGCTCGCATCAAAATCATAGTAGTGGAATGGAATTTAACCATGGAATTGGGATCGAGGAGGAATTCCAGGTTTGGAGTTCTCGAGGTTGTGAAAAAAAAAATACCGATTCCAAGTCGACAAACAACAGCTGTGTGTTACCACCACTACCCCCAAAAAAAATTCAGCAAGGTAGTTGGAATCAATTTTCCCGCCACCTACCGTGAGTGGCCGTCCATACGTACCGGTCTCCACCTTGAATTGCCTTTCTTCTTCTTCTTCTTCTTCTTCTTCTTCTTCTTCTTCTTCTTCTTCCACATTTTATTTATTATAGAAATCAATTCTCACATCACTAGTTTTTCCATCTCTTCTAGATTCCTGTTCCAGTTGCCGTAGTTTCTTGTTTTCTTATATTCCTGGCCAACAGAATTTGATTCGAGTTTCGCCATTGTACATCTCCTTTCTTGTTTCGTACGTAAGGAAAGGGTCAATTTTTCTGTTTTTATGGGTTTTTTTTTATCTCCTCTCCATCCAAACTAATCCTTTTGACTTTCTCCTTGATGATTCCAATTGTTGTTTTGACATGAAAGGTTAAAGGGAAAAGAAAGTGATTTTTATTGCCAGAGTTAAATTCACGAATGGGACATAATGTCTCAAATAGGTGGTCTCAAATTATTTGAATTGTCGTCGTTTGACTTGTTCTAGCTACTTTGCATGGCGAGTGCATTTAGGACATTTTGATTATGATTATATGGATTCTCAACTTAGGTAGGTTGATCAAAGTTGCCAAAATAAATTAGGTTGAAGCTATTGAAACTCACGTGTGAAGCGATCAATTAACGTGTTTTGTGAGAGTGTCATGTGTAAGTGCCCCGAAGGAGCATTTTGGACTCGATTGAATTTGGGACAACACGTCACACGATCTTTAGAGGTTTGTCTAACGAATTAGACAAGCAATATTCCAACTCCTTAAGTCTTTAAACCCCCATACCCCCTTCCCTCTTATGCATAGCTACATGTTTCCAAGCAACCTTAGCTTTCTTACCCTCTGCCTCAACATTCCGCAAGTAATCTGAACATACCTTCTCTATCATTTTGACAACTTTAACCGACAATTGTAAAATTCCCATCAAATTCAGAGATATAGAGGAAATAACAGCATAGACAAGTTGAAATTTCCAATCATATAAAAGTGTTTTTGCCGCCCATTCTCTTATTCTAACTATGATTTTGTCTATCAGACTTATACATTCTCATTCCCAACTCGCCGTCCAGTAAAGGGATCCCCAAGTATCTTACTTGAAATCTCCCTATGGGAAACATAGTTTTTCCTGTTATAGACTTCATTTCATCTCTGTCAATCCCAACAGAAGAAAAAAAATTCACTCTTAATTGGATTACATTTTAGACCAGGCACTTCATATAATATATCCAGAATCGTTGTCTTCAATAAATAATAATAAGTATAGGATTATGCATACTTATTTATAGACAGGTTATGCACATTATCGGTTTCTTGACGCTTCACTTGTTTTAATTAGATAACAAAAAAAAGACATTACATAATCATGAAGGAGAAGTTCAGACATCTCCTTTGAATTAATTAGTAAATTTTAACAAAAGGAACCTTCGTTAATTAACTCGTGATGTAAACTGTGTACTTCCAGATGGATTATTTATATGCAACTTAATGTCGTTTTGTGGAAGGAGGACGACATAAATTTCCTTCCCCAGACACATTGGGTTTGTCGGACAAGGATCCTGTTACGGCCTGGATCCCATTACTACAATCCAATATTATTAATAACTTCGGGTAAATCTATGGTTAATTACTCCCCATATGATTAATTTAATTATATCTGCGCCCGACAAAAGATTAACTAATTTGTTAATCATCATTTTCCCCCCTTCTTGTTCGTGAATATATATATTGGCGTTGTGTATTGGAATATATAACTTTGTGGTGGTTGATAAATTCGTCCCAATCCATTCCGTTGAAATTGCCGTTTGAACGTGGAGACCAAAGATGTTTGAATCATTACACAACTACTATTCTTTCTCCCCCAACCCAACATTTTTGAAAGTAACGTCCAAAACTTTCATGGCTGTACTCCTTCTTTCTTTATTTGTACGTCATTTATAGTTTCGTTTAGGCCTAGGATAGTTTCAATAAACAGATCTGGCTCGTTCGTTTTAAGTGGAATCATATGTAAAGAATTAGATCAAATGGCGTTTTAAGCTTTTTGACATAAATGGAACAAGTTTGTTATAATCTACAAAATTATATTTATTTTATAAATATTCCGAAGAATTTTTTTTTTCCGTAGCACCCATATCATTACGTACCATCTTCTTTTTCTATTCAAATTTTGAGAAATTCTTTCGTTCCTTTTCATTTATCCATTCACATGTTACATATTTTCACGTTGTAGGGTAGAAGGGTCGTTGTTTTGTTGATTACCTCCCCGTCATGAAAATAGTTGGTAAATTATACAGACGGTGTTGGTGCAGGTCGACCCAAATGGGTATGTAGTTTGAAAGGAAAACGTTAGAAATACTCATTTTTCACTTAAAAAACCCAAGAAACAAACTAAAGTATGATAAATGTAGTTAAAATTATTCGTAAAATTGAGGTTCTCGCATATTTACAACTTCATTCTAGCTAAAACATGATGTAATAAAGTTAAATTGTAAGTTAGACAAAGACGAGTAAAATAAAAAGGAGGGGGTCGTGGCAGGTCAAGGAAACTACCCACACACGGCCACACCTGCCCTGCTTCGCCTATGGAGCGGGTCGGGCCCGCTTCAAAACTGGTCTAACAAGTTGGGTACAACATATCAGCTCAAAATTATCAACTCTAATGGGTGAATAATTGTCATCCCTATTCATCGTATGAGTCCAAAGGCACCCCATCTCGCGGTACGGCATTGCCCTCATTTATATATGTTTTCTATTATTTCTTAATTATACCATTATTATTAGTATCGACGATGCTCCTTGTTTCACACAAAAAGTTGAATTTTGTCGTCCTGTGATTAGCATGGGAAATTATGGGTAAGCAATCCTTGTAAACCAACTTTTTGGACTGTATAGGCCATGGTGGGTAGAGAATATTTTGGCATTTTTATTAGAAGAGGAAGAATGTACAAGACTTCTCCTGCCTGCCTTGAAAAGAAATTAACAAAGGAGGCGGCCAACACGATTATATGCTTCCTACCATAAAACCTTAGAAAACTCAGACGACATTTGTATTGTTTTATTGGTTCATCAAGAACCGGTTGATGTCAATAATTAAGTTGTTTGGAGATGTTCAATTATGGACCAGATACGACTTATTAAATAGGTTTAACATTTAATTACCTTTTTGTTTCCAGTGTCATAAGTCTTTTGATCTACATTTAACTTTGTGACCTCTTCTCACCTAGAACAGAAGAGTGAAAAATAAGATCGGAAAAACCGAGGAGTGAAATATGGTAGAAGTACAATTCTGTCGATTAAGGTTATGACCTTCTGAAGACAGATTAACTTATTGGCAAGCAAGCAACCCATATGAGATGAACTAACTACTACCATTTTTTGGGGTTTATATGCTGAGCTTTGTTTCTTTCCATATTAAGAGAAACAACGAGAGAGAGAGAGAGAGAGAGAGAGAGAGAGAGAGAGAGAGAGAGAGAGAGAGAGAGAGAGAGAGAGAGACAACTTTGTTTGGATTCTTTGGGTCTTGGGTCTTGAGAAGATTTGATTGACTAAGGATTCTAGGAAGAAGGATGGAACTAGACAAGACACAATACAAGACTGCTTCTTTTGGGCTAGATTGGAACGGGCCCTATATCTACGGGCTTCTGAACTGCTCATTCGGGCCAGTGGCCCATTTGCACTCATTATTAGTTCTGGCGGGAAAGACAAACTCCCCGTCCCGCTATCACTATCTCGACGAGTAAAATGTAAATCAAAATTCATAATAGGGATTAGGGTGAACAAAAAGAAATCAACTTCAAAGTAATCCATCTACCTAATCTGCTCCGATGAATAGAAAGCGAACCGCAAATCCTCCCGATTTGTTGTCATCCATGGAGGAGTCGAAGGGGGAACAGACGACTGCTACCGACGCTCAAAAGTCTCCCACTTTACCGGCGAGCGTCATCGTCAACGTTTTGTCCAAACTCCCGGCGAGATCTCTGTTCCGATTCAGGCTCTTGTCCCGTAACTACCTCAACCTAATCCAATCCCCTGATTTTATCGCCGCCCACGCCCGCGATTCCTGCCTCAATCGCGCCGGTCTCCTCCTCCTCGCCGAATCCCTCTCCGGCCCAGTGGCGTCCTTCTTACCGCGCCGGCGATACCCGACAACAGCTGCGGCGGAGGAACGTCAAGCGAACAAGTGAAGAAAGATGGGATTTTGGACATCCCCTTGTCCTTCCTCAAGGGTTATGGCCAATTGGGAGAGCGACCCAGCTTGAGATTTGCTGGATCCTTCAACGGGTTAGTTTGTTTGATCCTCCATCGATGGGGAGAGTACTGCCACCTCCCAATTCAGCTTCGCTCCTCCGCCGATCTTGCCTCAGGACGACTGCTTTTGCAACGGTGAAAGCCCCCACAGAGTCCTTGTTGGATTTGGGTACGATTCTGAGGCCAGCGATTACAAGTCCGGTTAGGGTTTGCTGGTGGGAGGAGGAGGAGGATGGTGGTGGTGTTCAAGTTGAAGTTCTAAGTTGGGTTAAGAGGTCATGGACACAATTCAAGACAGGAGCTTTCAAACCATCCTGACTCTCAACCGAAAAGGAACCTGGAGCTTTCCCGATCCTCCTCTCGCAACCAGCAATGGGGGAGGGTATTGGATGGACACGATTACTGGTATGGTGCTTTGCTTCAAACTACAAGATGAAAAGTTGGAGTGGATTTCGACTCCTTATCCTGCAGATTCGCCTTCATGGTCTGTCCTGAGTACCATTAATGTCTGGAAAGGGTCACTTGCTATGTTTGTGCTAACAGTACAAGACTCGTTGCTTAGTGTCTGCTTGTTCGACGAAGGAGATTCATCCTGGTCTACTTTACTTACCATTCCAATGCTGGGTTCCCCTTGCATACCAGAGGCCATATGGCGCGTCAATGGCTGTAATTTGTTCTTGCTCTACATCAACTGCGTTATCTGCGATTCCAAAGGAGGCATATTGAAGCTTCCATTTGAGGAGATTAGTAGAGCCTTTGAGTTTGCTGAGACCTTGGTTCCCATCCCTGGCTGTTGAAGAAGTTGGTGGCTATGCCATTAAGTGGTTCGTGGTCATTGCTTGAAATTTTGGTGCTTCATTGCTTGAGATTTTCAGCAGCCGAATTAATTTGTCCATTTCAACAATCCAATGTGCTCATTATTAAAAAAAAAAACATTCCAATATGCTGACATGTTGCAAGGTGAATGACATAGATTTGCTACATTCTTGACGCAGCTGGAGCCATAATCAGATCAGGTCAGTGTCACTACTCTCACTCCATAAGCATACTTGACGCAGCTTGAGCAGAGTTCTGCCTCTCAGTAAAATGTGCTCTATCCTATCATTGTGTTTGTTTGCATTCCATACAAGCTAGATTCAGGTATGCATTCATATATACAGAACTCTGTTGCTTAGAAGTTTTCGAGTCATTGAAGAGTAGAAGTTTTACTTTTTACAGAGTCATCAGAGTACAAGACAAAAGCCGAAGCTTGTCCGGAAAATCCCTGTCCTCCTTGATGAAAACTGAAAAATATCCCTATCCTACTAGTAAACGGGCAAGCGACGAATGCACGAGGTAAAAAGTTATATAGTGTGGATCATTACGTAATTAAAAATTTGAACTCTGCTATGACGATGGGGAGAAAGCGAACCACTGCCGCCCTCGCACAAAAGTTGCCGGAAAACATCATCGTCGACATTTTGTTCAAACTGCCGGCAAGATCTCTGTCTCGCTTCAGGCTCTTGTCCCGTAAGTACCTCAGTCTCCTTCAATCCCCTGATTTTATCACCGCCCACGCCCGCGATTCTTGCCTCAATCGTGCCGGCGTTCTCGTCCTCGCTGAATCCATCTCTGGTAAAAAAGAGGCTTTATTCTTACCACCGGTGATACCACCCGATAATAACAGCAATGGAACCTCAATCGAACCGGTGAAGAAGAACGGGTTTACGGACTTCCCCCTGCCATTCCTCAAGGGTTATAGCGAATTCGGAGAGGAACCCAAGTTGAGATATGCCGGATCCTTCAATGGGTTAGTCTGTTTGATCCACCATCGATGGGGAGAGTACTGGGTTCTGTGGAACCCGGCCACCTCCCAATTCAGCTTCGCTCCCCCGCCGATCTTGCCTCAGAGGGATTGCTTCTGCAACGGCGCACGCCCCCACAGAGTCATTGCTGGATTTGGGTACGACTCTGCGGTTGGCGATTACAAGTCGGTTAGGGTTTCCTGGTGGACAGAGGATGGTGGTGGAGTTCAAGTTGAGGTTCTAAGTTGGGCTAAGAGGTCATGGACAGAAATTCAAGACAGGAGCTTGGACACCATCCTCACTGTGAAACGGCAAGGATCCTGGAGCTTTCAGAATCTTCCCGTGGCAACCAGCAATGGGGGAGTGTATTGGATGGACACGGGTACTGGTATGGTGCTCTGCTTCAAACTACATGATGAGAAGTTGGAGTGGATTTCGACTCCCGACGATGCTGCTGCTGCAGCTTCATGGTCTGTCCTGAGGACCATTAATGTCTGGAAAGGGTCACTGGCTATGTTTGTACTGCCAGTACAAGACTCGTTACTTAGCGTTTGGTTGTTTGACGAAGGAGAGTCATCCTGGTCTACTTTACTTACCATTCCCTTGCAGGGTTCCCCGTGCATACCCGAGGCCATATGGCGCGTCAATGGCGAGAGGTTGTTCTTGCTCTATGTCAACTGCATTGCCTGTGATTCCACCGGAGGAGCCAGATTGAAGCTTCCATTTCATGTTATTAGCAGAGCCTTTGAGTTTGCTGAGACCTTGGTTCCCATCCCTGGCAGTTGAAGAAGTTTGGTGGCTTGTCTATATTCCCCTCCTTGTAACCATAGTTAAAAACACATTTTATGACTGGCTGGTACTGGTCTAGAATCATGTTACAAATGGTGCCACTATTAGACCTGCATAATCTGCATTTTACCTCTTCAATGGTCTGGTTATGTACTTGTGACCAGCATCAATGTTGAATTTGCCATTAGAGATTATCTTCTGTGAATGTTTTGTTGATTTAACTATGCCGATTATGTGGTTCGTGGTCACTGCTTGGAATTTTGGTGCTTCATTGCTACACTTGGTAACGGAAACAGAGTGAAATCATATCAACGCAATCTATCTATCTATCTGTTGCCATGAAAAGAAAGCAACCGCCAGAGATTTTGTCGCCGGAACTGGAGGGGAAACCGACGGCTGCCGCTTCTGCCGCCGCCGGCGCACACAGTTTCTCCTCCTTACCGAAACACATCGTCGACGGCCTATTCAAACTGCCGGCGAGGTCTCTGTTCCGCTTCAGGTTCTTGTCCCGCTACCATCTCAACCTAATCCAATCCCCTGACTTCATCGCCGCCCACGCCCGCGATTCCTGCCTCAATCGCGCCGGCCTTCTCGTCCTCGCCGATTCCCAATCCGGGAAAGCGGCCTCATTCTTACCGCCGGCGATACAGGGGAAGACGAAAGATGGGGTTTTGAACTTCCCCTTGCCCTTCCTCAAGGGTTACGGCTGCAATGCCAGATTCAGCTACGCCGGATCCTTCAAGGGTTTGGTCTGTCTGATCGTCCGCCGACAGGGAGAGTACTGGGTCCTGTGGAATCCGGCCACCTCCCAATTCAGCTTCGGCCCTCCGCCGATCTTGTCTCAGGAACACTGCTTCTGCAACTCGCGCTACCGCCGTCGCCTCTGGGTCGTCGTTGATGGATTCGGGTACGATTCCGCGGCCGACGATTACAAATCGGTTAGGGTTTTGTGTTGGGAGAATGCGATTCAGGTCGAGGTTCTAACTTGGGCTAAACGGTACTGGACAAGAATCCACGCCGGCGAGGGCTTTTACTCCATCTTCCATATCATCTCTGGACCTCCCAGCTTTCCCGATTCCCCTGTTTCGACCGAGGGCAGGGTGAATTGGATGGAGGCTAGTTCCGGTATGGTGCTTTCCTTCAGACTGCGCGAGGCGAATTTGGAGTGGATTTCGATTCCAGATGCTGCTGATGGAGCACATTCGCCTTCATTGCCGGTTAACAGGACGATTTGTGCCTGGAAAGGATCGCTCGCCATGCTTGTACAGCCTTTGCAGGAGGAGTTGCTCAGTGTCTGGTTGTATGATGAAGGAGGATCATCTTGGTCTAGTTTAGTTTCCATTGCCACACCTGGCCTTTCTCGCCGAGTGGAGGCTATATGGGGCTTCGATGTCGAAAGCTTATTGGCGATGTATGTCGATTGCATTGCCTGTGATTCCAGGGGAGGCAGATTTAAGCTGCTGCTTCCATTTGATGTTATTGGTAGAGCATTTGAGTTTGCCCCAACCTTGCTTCCCATCCCTGGATGCAGCTGAAGAAGTTGCTGGCTTTGTTTGTCTGGGCCAGCTGCTGATCCGGTTAGGTTCTTATAACAAGTAGAAAGTTACTATTACTTAGAGTCACATCACAAGGGGTGATCATTTTGTAATTATTAAAGTTTGGAGGAATTTTATGTCATTAAAGACCATTGTTATAAGAACCTAACCGGATCAACAGCTGGGCCAGTAAAACCATCAAATAGTTACGATGACAGTCTGGTTCATTGATTGTACGGCTAGTGATGGACCAAATGGTTTTTTAAGGTTCAATATAAAATCAGATGAACCAACACGATTTCACTGGTCCACTAGTTCACTATTTTGACCATAAATTCTTTAAAAAAAAAGATTAAAGTAAACTAAGACCGTCAAACCAGAATTATTAATTTTATTTCTGCTTCCTCTTCTCATTTTCTAACCTCGTTGTCGATTTTATGTGGTCCACTACCGGCTGGCACCATAATTTTTAACTTGAATTAAAAAAAAAAATTATGATTTCTTTTGTGAGATGGTTTGAATGATTTGTTAGATATTTAGGTGCATGATATGAATTTGAAATTGTTTAATGGTCAATGATAACTTTATCTTAAATTAGTGTATTATACAAGTATTGTATATTATATATCATGGACGGTTCTATCAATGGTTAACCAACAGTTTTGCAACGATTAACCACTAAATCCTAAACCACTGACATTTTTAGTTCAACGTCCGGTTCGGTTATGAAAACAGAGTATAAGACTATTAGATCTTCTCTTTTCAAATTACAACCATTGAATTAAGTTTCGTAGTAATACAAAATCTCATGGTTTTGTACCGTAGCCTGGGGAGCAGATCCAGTGAGTAACCTTGTGGTGAGTAGGGCTGGCTATTTGGACCGGAACCGGATGAAAAACCGGAAATCGGACCGTATAACCTGGATCGAGACCGGATAGTAAACAATCCAATCCAATCTTTGGGCTTAGATTTGAGGTAAAAAACAGGATAAAGACCGGATAAGAGAGCTCAACACCCAGAACTTAAGGGTAATTTGCATAAACGGTCACAAACCTTTGCACTTAGTACAAAACTTAACCAACTCCTCACCCTTTTAGGCCTTAGGCCACTCAAATTCCCACAATCTCAATATAAAATCAAGACCGAATTGGGACCGGACCGGGTCAAGACCGGATTGTATCCAATCCAATCTTCGGTCCTTATATTTTCAAAAAAACCGGACTGGACCGGATCAATTTGGGCCAATTTAACCGGACCGGACCGTATAGCCACCCCTAATGGTGAGTAACCATATGCATAACCCAATAAGAATGTACCACATTAGCGCCTACTTCTCTTTCCTGGAAAAATTATTAATTTTCTTTCTCTTAATCTTTAACGGACGATTTCTCACTCGTTTTAACTCGGAATTAATTTTTGTTGCACAGTTAGATCAGATTAATTGTACTCTTCAAAATGATATCCACTTTGATATTTTTTGTAACAAAAAAAATTTGTTAGTTATTACCAGTCTATAACATATGGTATAGTCAATACCATATGATATTGACTGATATTAAATTCCAGCATACCATATGGTATGAAAAATACCAGTCAATACCATATGTTGTTATTTAATACCAGTCAATACCATATGGTATTAAATAACAGCATACCATATGGTATGAAAAATACCACCTCATACCAGGGTGGTATAGTATAATATGGAGTTGGTAACGAGAGGTTTGAAATTTTTTCCCCCAGAAAATTTTGAAATCCAATAGATCATGATTAAATCGTTATTTTTGTGCAAAAATTTCCGAAAATGACTAAACAACGAAGGAGATACCATATGGTATGGAGTTGGTAACGAGAGGGATGGAAATTTTTTTTCTCAAAAAATATTGAAAATGGATATCATTTTGTAGAGCACAACGAACTTGTTCCATCTGTGCAAAAAAAATTGAAATCCGAGTTAGAATGAAGAAGATATGATCCAATTACGAAAACTAGAGAAAATAATTTTTTTTTAATTCTCCAACCTTAGATCTACAATCACTTAAAAGAAGAGTTCAAATTTGATTACTCATTGTTACTCACTCTAAGGTTACTCACCTTATCTTGAGCCCGTAACCTGCCCCTAGGTGTTACTATTGACTGCTGTTCACCAAAAAAAAATTTACTATTGACTATTGTATTAGAATAATACTCGTCACCAAAATCCGTGTGAGATTGGGTGAGCTAATTAATTAATAATATAATATGGTCACCGAGCGTATAAGGCTCGTAGAGCTTTCTTCTCTGTAAGCTAAATTCTGTGCTTTGTTCGGAACAATTGTTATTTCAAACTCGGCCGACCTGCAAAACCCTAATCTGCTGCGATGGGGACGAAGCTGATAAGAGACTTGTGGCTGAGCCTGAAGAACAGCCGCCAATTACTTACACCAAAACCGGTACGTACGTTTGATTATCATGTTAATATGTGCTGCTAATTAAGTGATCTTTCCCTTCTTTCCAGTTTTTTTTTTCTTTTTCATGTGGTTAATCGTTTGTTATCTTGGTTATTTGCTTACCTGTTATCCATGCCAAAACCCTAAACTCCTCAACTTTGGACGATATTTTTTTCCGCCCAGTGATATGTACTTTATACCATTGCACTAACACTATATATATCATAGGTAAACATAGGTCTACTCTCGGATCCCGACGAATCAGAATTGTCGATTACTCTTTTTTCTTAAATATTTTTGGGTATGAGTTTAGAACATCGGGCTCAAGGAGTCAAAGTCTATCCATTAGAGGTTTATTTCATGATCTAAAAAAAAATATAGCGTTCCGACCAATATATATGGTAAAGGTTAGCATACGCCCGGACGTACCCTAGCCTACCGTACGCCTGTTGAGTTTTGCTATTTAGACAATGAATTAACCGGAGTTTGGGGCATGATACTATATACCTTAACCCCCTAATGGGTGAACCCCAGTCCGCAATTCACTAATCCCCAAAGCATAATATTCATTTAATCTTGAAATGAAAATCAACGGTTCTGATTCGTCGAAAATATTGTTGATTTTCATTTTAAGATTAAACGAATTTCATGATTTGGGTTAGAAAACTAGGGACTGGGTTTATCCATTAGTGGTTAGGGTATAGTATCATGTCCAAAACTCCGGTTAATTGATGATCTAAATAGCAAAACTCAAACGGGCGTACGGTAGTCTAACGTACGCTCGGGCGTACACTAGCCTAAATCATATAGGGCAAGACCGGTGTGCGTCAGGCATATACTATACGTCAGGTACTACTAGTGAGATATCTCTATCTAGACCATGAACTAAATCGAGTTTGGGGTGTGATACTATACCCTAACCTCTAATGGATAAACCCCAGACACCGATTTTCTAAACCATAACCCGAAGTTTGATTTAATGAAAAACAAAAATTGACCGTTGAGATCGGCCGGAGCTCATCTAAGTACATCTAACGGCTAGATCACCTGGCATATAGTATACGCCTGACGTACACCAATCATCACCATATATATATATATATATAGTAATTTTGTTGTATATATGAATTTCAGGAGTTGAATGGTGTTGATAATCTGAAGCGCGCGCAACACGTGACTCCGCTTTCCATCGGTCTAGAAGTCGGCTACGGTAAAATGCAAGTGATCATCCCAAGGAACACTCCCATCCCAACCAAGCTCTACGGCATCCTCTCCCGCCGAACCTTCCGCTGCCGGGAATCTGTGGGATTCCCAATCTACCAAGGAGAAAGAAGCATGGCACGCAAGAATCGGTTTCTCGGCAAACTGTCGTTCACCAATAATAATAATGTCCCGCCTGCTGCTTCCCGCAATATCAGGGATACTTACGGAGAGCTGAGAGGTTGGTTCGGCATCGACGCCGACGGGACCCTAACCGTGCGTGTCAAGGATTTGGCCACCGGAAAAGAGCAGGAGATGAGAGTGGAAGGCGTCGCCGGCGGGAAGAGGAAGATGGTCTTGTCGGAGGAGGAGGTGGAGAGGATGGTCCGTGAAGGGCAGGAGCACAAGGTGGCGGACCAAAAGTACGTCGAGGAGATGGATGCTGCGTGGGAGGCCATGAATTCTGCATGGTCCATGATGAGGCGTGCCCAGATGTCGCTGATCAATGTGACGACGGACGGTGAGGAGACGTACCGTACGTTTAAAAATGTCGCGATGCAGATGCTGAACGATTTTAAACCCGAAGCAAAAGACGAGTAGGTAATCATACGTGCGTGGCATTTGAGATCACCACTGTGAATTCGAGATATCGCGGTTTCCTATATTTTTGTTTCAAGTTTAAAGTCGTCAAACATCAGAAGGACGACATTCTTGACCTTCCATCGTCACAGTGGTCAGTAACATCTAGGCACGCCTCATCACAGACCATGCAAAATCCATAGCATCCCACGAAACATTCCTTCACTTACATACATGGTATATAACTTGTTCATAGAAACTCTTATCTAAATAAAACAATGCAAATACTTAAACGTCAGACACATCCCACTTTCGTGAGATATGTTGAATTTTGAATTTACATATATATACGTAGATGATCAAGTTATCCCTTATCTGTATATTATTAAACATTTCAGTTTCACAGATTTTATTTTCCGGACTCATTAATGTTTGGTTCTTTCTGGAGAGGATGACTTTGGGCCTGCTGCTCAAAGTGGGTTCCCCCCTTGTTACTTGGTTTTGGGCCCTGGTTGTCACTAACGGCCCAGGATCTTTCTTCAACAGGTTTATTCGCCCAATTTAGCCTATTTTGCCAATTACAAATGAACAACAAACAGACAGTGTCTCCTAAGATGATGCTACAAAACATGCTCTCTAACTCTCACGCAGTTAAAAAAAGAAATTGTTTGCGATGAATGTTTTGATAAGGCATAATGAATAAATTAAAAAAAAGAAGACAAATTAAACGTGACAAATTTGCTGATTATACAGACGTTGATCTCCAATAACAATAAGGGAGAATACGATTCACAACATATTAGTTCAAATTCTGGCGACAACCATTGTTTCAGAGAAAAGAATGAGAATGTGAAATTTAAGTACATTTTATTACCAAAGTACCAATTGTCCTCTCTCAAAATGAAAATCGACTTCAGTTATCCATTTCCTGAGTAACATTATTACAGTACAAGAAAGAAAAAGAGATCTCTCTTCATTACAAATGCATACAAAAGGGAGAATATATAAACATGGCTGTTTTTTATACTCTGCTTACATATATGATGATATATATGAAAGTTGATGGCTCTCTAAATTCAGAGCATATGTTCAATATTGTTGTACAACAAACCCAGAAGGCAAAGCCACTAATTTACTGAAATACCCACAAATTAATGGCCACAAACTCTTTTTTTTTTTTTTTAGTCACCATGTTTTCTTCATCATCTTCATCACCTTTTTATTACAAACTATAGTATACATATGGCCTTTTTTTTGGGGGATGGAATTTCCTTCACCATTTTTCCATTCTTTTTTATAGTAAAATGGGAGAAATTCAAAGCTTTAAGGCCATATATATACTATGTGCTAATACATGGGGGGAGAACACAAAAGGAGGAGGGTGGGTTTTTAATGGAAGCCGGCGAGGGTCGTTTTGGTCGTCGGGATATCCGGCGGTGGAGATGGGAGTAAAGTGAGCGAGAGTATTCCACTGGCTGCCGCCGCCACCGCTCCGACCACGAACGCCGGTAAGTTCCCTCCGCCGAACAGCGCGTCCCAAGGTCCACTCAACACCGAAACTATCATCTGCAAGCAGAAAAACGACAAAAACACAATTAAATCCGACCGTAAATATTCCTAGTTAAGTGTTGAAACTTATACCCTATCCCTTTTTCTTAGTTATAAAGCAATGGGTTTTTTCACTGTTTGGAAAATTTACGATGGGCCAGCAAACAAATAGAATCAAAATACTTTAATATTGGGCCCAGAGAATATATTCCGTCTTTTATCCTAATTCTAAAACATATCCAAGATACTCGCTTAGCTAGCCGTGGTTCCAATCTAGGCCCATTTTAGCCTTTTTAATGACTTAAACCGCTTTAGGATTGTGATATAGTTAAATCAGCCGTTTGATCCAAGAGATAAATTAGTCACCACGATCGACGGTGAATGTTCTGTTACGAAATACTTAATACGCAAGAGTTCGCCCAGGAGAGAATCCTTTTGATACTACTTGAAAACTAATTAACCTCCCTCGTTAAATCAACTCGAATCGAATGAAGTCGTTATTATTTGGTGAGGAAAGATGTATCATAATGACAAAGACTTTGCTAATCAGCCCTTTTGATACAAGGTTACTTGTTCTTAACGGTAACCGACCAAAAAGCTCAAAAAGCCCAAATCAAACAATATATATTAGATAGGTACCTTTTCCCTACAACCTTCTTCTCAAAAAGCCAACCAACCAACCAAAAAGAAAAAGAGAAAGAGATTTGCTTATGTTCCTATAATCATCTGGATATATAAGGAGGGCCCAATATATATATCAATCTCATTCATTAAAAAACTTGTTCTCTAAACCAAAGAAAGTTAAAGTGTAACATTGAATTCTCTTAACCCTTTTCATACATAAGCTTTTCCTCCACGTGTATATGTGCCACCTTACCCTTCAAATTTATTTCGACCGACCGACCTTTCTCTAGTGGGGAGACACAATGAAACTAACCACCTTCATGACAAGGAAATCAGAGGACGTTTCTAAGTCTTTTTTCCTAACCCATCTTCCATTTCTCAGTCATAGTCCCCACATTTATTTAATCCTAACCCACAAAAAAATGTTTGACATTTGCCCCCATCGACACCATTCCGATTAATACGTCGATAGTTTCTACACCGTAGCAATCGTTATAATGCTAATGCATGCATTCGAAATTTTAGATTGTGTGAACAGAACATGTACAACGTCAAAAAGAGGGGAAAAGAACCCATTACCTGTGGTACAACGATGGATAGATTGAGAACTCCCAACGACAAACCTGATAAAACAGCCATGCAAAGAAAATAATTAGATTAATATAATGATCTAATTAAATAATTAATTAGGGATTAAGCAAGGTTTAATGATGATTAATAATATATATTTCTTACCTTGACCGGTACCGGTGGTCTGAGAAAAGATAGAAGCCAGAGCGAACGGGATACTGTAAGTTATCTGCACAACAGAAAAAGCCAACCACAAATTAAATAAATATTATTTTAATTACGAGTCAGCAAAAAAATATTAATAAACTCTTGTTTGTTTATTTAACCTCTATGGATAATGCATGAACACAAATTAAATGGTGTAATAAATTTCAGCATTTATTATCCTAGTTGGCATGAATTTCCATTCCCACAATCCAATGCCTTTTTTTTAAACTTTTGCTCAGACCTCGTAATTAATTATCTTCATATCCAAAATTAAAAGATTATTAAAACTCACCGCAAGCGGGATACCCAAGACGGAGAAGAGAGTCAAAGCCCCGGCCAAAACCCCGGTGGACGGCGGAGTCGGGTGCTCCGCCGACGCCCGACCCGCCTCCGCCAGCTTACTGATCAAAACGGTCAACGCCAGGCAGATCGCCAGCAAAAAGTTGACTATCCCCCACAGCCTCTTCACCCCGCCGACCCACCGGCCCAGCGACTCGACCCCGAGCGACATGATGCCCAACACCACCGAGTTCAAAAGCAGGCCCAACGCCCCGGCCCGCACCCCGTGCCCGTACATCTTCACCTGCTCCGGGTTCCCGTCCGAGCTCCCGCCGTACACCTCCCGGCCCATCCAGTCCGTGTCGTACAGCAGGAACGGGAACCACCCAATCCAGTTCAGACACGTCACCAGCAGCAGGATGCACATCGGCCTCTTCATCGTCTTGATCGCCGAGAACAGCTCGCAGAACATCGGCTCCGACACCGACGCCTCCTCCCCGTCCGCCGCCGCCTCCGGCGACCACTGCTTCTCCTCCACGTACCTGCCCCGTCGTCGCGTCGCGTAAAATAAAAAGATACAAATTAATTTCTCGTATAATCAAAATCCACGTAGCGCGCTATACTTTTTTACTGCACGGTAAAAAATTATTAAGCGAGAAGTCAAAAAGAGAGGGGGCAAAAAAAAGAAAAAAACGGTTAATTACCAGAGGGCTAAAACGGTCAAAACGAAGAGAAGGCTGATGGAGATGAAAAAGCAGGCCTTGAGATTCGCGCAGTACACATCACACGCCGTCGTTTTGGTAAATGAGAAGATTTTATAAAGATGATTATAGCTGCCGGCGGCGTAACCAAGGATGTTGCCGACGGCCATGAAGAACGAGAAGAAGGCATTGGCGACCCTCGTCTTCTTCTGGCTGGTCCCGGAGAGGTCGGCGAGAAGGGCGCGGCAGGGGCCCTGGAGCATGTTGTTGGCGACGTCGAGGATCCAGAACCCGACGACGAAGACGGCGATGGCGCGGGGTTTTGACTTTTTGGTGAGGTCGTCGCCGGCGTGGTGGCCGATGTCGGCGGCGTAGCCGATGAGGATGACGGCGACGGCGACGCAGGCGGTGCCGCCGGCGATGAAGGGGCGGCGGCGGCCGAAGCGGGAGGTGCAGCGGTCGCTGTGGTAGCCGACGATGGGCTGGACGATCATGCCGGAGACGGGGCCGCAGAGCCAGATTAGGGAGGCGAGGGAGTGCGGGATGCCGAGGAGCTGGACGTACGGGGTGAGGAGGGAGAGCTGGAGGGCCCAGCCGAACTGGATGCCGGCGGCGATGGAGGCGACGGCGGCGATCTTGCGGAGGGGGCTGGCGGCGACGTGGGCGGTGAGGGATTCTTGGTGGGTTGGTTGTTGTTGGAGGTGGAGGGCGGCGGGCTTGCCCGGCGGCGGGGCTTTGTGATCGGTGGCCATGGAGGAAGGGAGCAAAGAGAGTATTAATTAGAGAGAGTTGAGGGAGTGATGGTGTGGTGGAGGGGATGGAGGGAGTGGGGATTATATAGAGTGAACTGTTGGGGTATAATTGGTAATTTGCCTAATCCTAGTGTGTTTTCTCTTTTTTTTTTTTTTTTTGAAAGATTTATGGGTGTTTGTTTGTATTGTACATGAAAATGGTAGTGATGTAAGTGAAAGAATATGATAAAAAAAGAAGAAAGAAGAAAAGTTTGAGTTTGAATGGAGAGGGGTATGGACGTCATTCAGGTTAGTTTGTTGTTACGATGTGGTGATATCGTCGTTGTAATAACCAGGTGTACGTGCGTCTCGCGTTCTGTTAGATGTTTTGATTTGTCTGTCGTAATGATTGAGTGATTGGTCATGGCGGGGCAGGATTGATATTTACCGATTTTGTTTACGAGTATTTTTCTTTCAGAAAATTTTTGTTGCACCACGAGACTCTTCTGAGCCAGTTGTGTTTGTGTTAAGCATTGATAGAAAGGGAAAAAAAAAACATTCTACATAAGGGGGGGGAAAACTACCTCTTGAAAAATGGGGAGGAGAGATCATATCCGAGCTTGTAAGAGAAAAAAGGATTTGTGCTTGAATTCACGTACCCTAGATACCCTCTGTGCGATATAGTCAAGGTGGAGACTTCTGTCAGTTTTATGAAGGATTCATGACAGAGCATGCAACATTCAGACTGACAACAGGAGAATCATACAATTCCATTCTTTCGGAATTTTTTCTAAAGTAATTGCATCAAGAACCAGTTGGTCTCAATAATTCGAGTAGCTGTTAGAGATTTGTTAGTAAATCTTATACCGCATACTAACACGTACCCTCAAACAAAAGCCAAGTAAACATTGAACAGCCTATAAGAGATCAAACAATGCTACAATAATCCTACTATGCATATAACCTTATCCATTATATTCAATGGATTGCTAGCTAGTAGCTGGGAGGGATTAGCCAAAAAGTTAACGTTACAAAAAGAAACACACCATCGTGATCGAGAAGGGTGTTGGAGTTGGAGAATACTATGGTTAAATATATTTAATCGAAAGGGATAATGGAGAGTTTATCCATCCATTATATACCACCACCAACAGTTTAATTGAGTTGAGTGGGCTGGATTCTGTATGGTACAAGATTTTTTTGTCGTCAAGTTGGCCAGCTAAGCAATATACGGTCGAATACTACTACTACTAGCCTACACATGCATTTGAAAATTCTCACCCCCACAATTCAAAAAAAAAAAAAAAAATATTCAGATTCCTTTTCTCTTTCATTTCATTAAATCAACGGCGGACTAATACCACTGAAAAACCGATTCAGTCTCAGAATAAAAATATAATTACAATCGATTAGAGACTAGATCAGGATTAGGAAAGGGAGAGAGCCCAGTGGCGGAGGTTGTTGCTGCTTCAGGCTCTATGCATGGTTGATGGGTAAAATCGAATAGGGTAAATGAGAAAAGAAGACCGATTGGGGATTTATTTTTGTTTATAGTTTTAATAAATTAATTCTATGTTAATCAAAGAACAAGAAGTGAGTTTTTAGTGTAGTGGCAAAACAGTAACGCCCTTATACCATTTCAAGGTGGTGAATTTGATCCGTTGCAAAAATATACTTGGGAATGTATTATTTTTCAACCAAAATTTACCTATGCCTTGTGACAATGTTTAAGTTGCCTCCACCTATGAATAAATTAAAAATATTTAAAGATTTTGAATAATCAATCACAAAACTAAACATGCTCCAGTCGGACGTGTCAAACAAACGGAAAGAGTCGTCTAATCAGTTGATTTCAGCGCTCTCCTATATTTATTTTATTTATCCTCTCTTGGCTATTTTGAAGCTAGCTATAAGGATTGTGTGGGTTACATGAGCTTGTCTTAACTTGAGTGTTGACTCACGAGTAAGAAGAGTTTGAGAAGAAATGGTTTTACCTGACAAGTTGATAGAGTAACGTCAAAATCCATTGGCTTTGATGGGAAAACTGAATTTGGACCCTTTGGTGACCGGGTTTTCAATGCCATTAATTGTTTCGAATAAGATGTTTCATATGATCATGGGTCAACTAGCTAACAAGGAAAAAAACCTGTGCTTGAAATTATTATTTTACAATTTAAGAGGATGAATAATATATATTGTTAGCAAGTTTGGATATATAGTATGGACTTACAAGCCATTAGTGCTGAAATACAATGTAATAATTGAGCGTGATGATGAGGAGTAAATACCGGTGCGGCGCCGCCTCAAGAATCTTTCCATGAATAGGAGTTATTATAAGATCTGACACACGACGAAACGGTCACCGAGAATGAATTTTGGCTGTCATCAGGATGTCGTCTTGTGAAATGAAATTGATCTGGGGAAGTACATGATCTCATCAATATTGTTTTTTTATCACTGCGAGATCTTTGACCTACTGAATTGGATGCGTGGTCAAATTGATCGGTGCAGCATGGGTGTTTGTATATGATGACTTCAAGATGAAGCAATCTCCAGGGATATATGAAGTCGAATTCGAAGGTTATTGAGTCAGATTGATCACTGCAACGTGAGCTTTATCTATAAAAAAAGAAACAATTCAATTACACATAATTTTAAACCTCAACCGGATAATTCTGAACAAATATTTGCGTAAGTCTAGATCTAGAATGATGAAGAAAACTATATGTGTGGTGATTCCTCTTCGGATGCACACCGTTAATTCATCCATAGTTGCAGAAGATGTTAGTGGAAAACTTATTTGTCACAAACAAGGGACTTTGCCATATATATATATATGACTCAATAGTCAAAATCTATCAAGCATTATGAAAACTCAATGTTATTGCAATGTTTTGAATAGTTTTCTGGATAGATACTAACAACAATTTATCTTCTTTGTCATTGTAAACAATACTTATAAATACTCAAGAAGTTCTTAATGAATTGATTTTGGATGATGTGAGCTGATGATTGATTAATCCCGATTTACTGTATGCGAGTTATTGACCTCTTAGACTTGATACATGATCAAATCTATATAAGTGGAACATGATGATCAAAAATCCATTTATAAAAGACAAAGTCAACCCAACTTGGAGTGTCAACAGAGTCAACAATTAGAAGTTAGCATAATATTTCTGTATAGAAACAAAAATAGTGCCATCATTATGAAATATAGGTCATTGAAAGACCTTCTGCCACACAAAAATGAACTTTTGAAAAGTATTAATTGGATTTTGGATGGAATTTAGATAGGTAATTAGCCATAAAATCAATCTAATGTCTAATTGATTATTCTATTAATTGATTTAACTACATTGTTAATCAATCAAAAAGAGGAGGGTAAACAAGTCTAAAGAACATGGTTTAAGGTATATATCTTGGAGAAACGACCCAAAAAAGGCTCATTCTCTTCTATTTGTCATATCCATTTGGTTGATTTGCATTATAACTCATTCAAAATTACATCAACAACTTTCTCATAAACGTCGTTATGTGAATCTCTCAAACTCGACTTACTCATAATACGAATTAGCTACCATATTACTTTCTAACAAAAAAATTCTTCACTCCGTGCTTGGTGACGACCCATCAACATGCTATTCATACATAAATTAAATCAAACGGAGAATAATTAATTGTTCCTGGCCAGCCAACTTGGAATCCTCCATAGCCTTTGTGGCTTTCTTAATTCACTCAAGTTGACGACATTCGCAAGTGAGTCAAGTGGGTGGGTGAGAAATCCATTAAAGCTTTAAAAAAAAAAAAAAAAAAAAAAAAAAACGAGACGCTCTCAATCTCTCTCGGGCGTGGGTAGTGGGAGCAAAAAACTCGCCGTCGTGCGACTGCCGATTACGGCCACTCCGCCATCGTGCCCCGCCGGAAACGGCCAGCGGCATGATGGGGGTTATAAAGCCGCCATCTTGGGCGCTGCGATATCAGTCGCCGATTCGAGAATCTATCAAGAGGTGCTGTCGATTTTTGCCCAAATCCTTGCAACCCTACTCTCTCTCGTCTGCTATGGAAGGGGTGCACGCGGTGGTCTTCGGGGATGATGATGTGGTGGCTGGAATGCAGCGGAGTGACCTCTCTCTGCTGGGGAGGGTGGTCGGCCCTATGCCTTCGATTCGTCATCTCCAATCCACCATGGGCCGCCTCTGGAACTGTCAGGGAGCCATTTCAATCCTTCCAGCCCCACAAGGACTGCTACAGTTCGTCTTCCCCTCGGAAGAGGACCTGAATCGGGTCCTGGGTGAGACGCCGTGGTTTTTACCCAAATATCTCGTCCACCTTGCTCCATGGGTGGAGGTCTCGCCGGAGATTGCGGACCAACTGTGGCGTATTCCCTTGCAACTGCAGTTCTGGGCAGTTCCGCCTCCCTGCTGCACATCTAAGATGGGCACCCTGCTTGGTGCTGCTTTGGGGAAGAGTGACCCGGCCTCGGTTCACAGAGTCACTTCCACGGGTGAGCTCTATCTCCATGCCAAGGTCTGGATTGATGGGCGCCTCCCCCTTCCAGTCTCGGTGCCAGCCTCGCATGAGAAAGTCGACAAGGGCGGGTTTAACGCGGTGATCAAATACAAGCGCCTCTCGCAATTCTGCTACCTATGTGGCGTCCTTGGCCACATCGGCCAACACTGCCCTCGACGCACAGAGTTGGCTGGAACTGTCACCCCTTACAATAGAGATCTCGTCTCCAAAAAATCTGGCCCGAAGGTCAATGAGAGATCGCTGCTGAGTCGCAAACAATACACATGGGTGCGGCAGGAAAGCCCAAACACAGCGCTGCTGAATGGCCGATCCCAGCATGGTGAGGCTTCGCGGGATCAATTCAGAGCCAGGGGGGTTGATTCTGACTCCCTGGACGATGGTGGTACGACAAAGCGGGCCAAATTGGATAACGTGTTGATGATTGGGGACAAGGAAACTACTTCTGCGGTGGAGGAAACCAGCCATAACTGGTCCCAAGCTACCAAATGAGCATTCTAGCTTGGAACTGTCGGGGCCTTGGCTCTCCCTTGACAGTTCCCTCGCTATTCGGGGCCATAT